TTCCAATCAGATAATAAAAAAAATGTACCTGAGCCAATTTTCAATCCCGAATTCTTAGATACGCACTCCAAAAACCACCTAGTTTTAACACATCGTATTTTTGCGGTATAAAGCTGTATAAGCTGTAAACTAATATCAATATCGCTTCAGATCTCTTGATACATGACGAAGTACAACTGCAGGTCTCCAAATAAGCCCGCTTACAACCAAGTTATCTACCTTCAACTTTTTTCTCTGCCAACACAGATTTATTTTAAAAAACTGCAGTTAACTGAAAAAAACTTTAATTTTGCTGTAACTTTTCTCTATGCTACAGACTATACTGCTACACGAGTAATTTAACAAACTAAAAGAGCGTAATACTAAATTACAACGAGTCAACTACTACCTCAACAAAATGATGATAATACACCACTGACAACATGCTAGACGAGTCCGATTAGTTCAACAGTTATTAGGTCAGTCATTATAAAAATAACAAAACTACCTCATACTTAACAATTCATAATGGGTGAGTGGCGTAACAAATATAAATACCTGACCGGAAATAAAAACGAAAAGACAGGATCAGAGGAGAAATATAAAGCTTCAGTCTCTCAATCCCCAACCAAAAATTCTCTAACTAAATACAGAAAAAAGCTCTTAACGTTCCATTTCCCTAAATGTGTTCTATCTAACCATTTAACACAGTCGCTTTAAATCAAACTTTTCATATCCACAGAAGCAGAATATAAAAGAATATGAATTTAATATAAAAGAATATGAATTTATATGAAAGACTTGTCAGAACCAGTCTCTTTCCACATTTACCCATTGTCTGAAGTTGAAATACAAAATTTCAAACTCACATTCAACAAAAAACAATTAATTAACAGAACCACCTGATCACTTTTAAAACTCTGCCGCTAAGCCTCCTTCTTATCAGAATTAGAAAATTTTGTTCTGATCCCTTCCTTGTCGAAAAAATCTGTTATTTCGCCTTCTTTATGCATTTGAACAAGTATATCACTGCCACCAACAAATTTACCATTCACATACACCTGAAATTTGAAAATCTTTTATATTAAACATAGGATGAAGCAGAACATTATTCCGCAGAGAAATAAGCAGTGGTACTATGCTTAAACGATACTATTTTTTCTTTAAATCGCGTAGCCAACTCCCTATCATTTATCCATTTTGGACAGCAAAGATCCTTAAACCCTTAATAAGTGAATTGCACGCAATATATATCTAGGTTAAACCCACTTTGAAGGAGAAGCTCACTTAACACTCCGAAATCTGCCACTTACTCTCCTCCCAATTATTTTTTCAGAAACAGATCTCTGAAACTAATTATGAGGAATAGGTGCAGCAAGACGCAACCCAATCCTAAAATCAAACCTGAGGGATTGTTGGCCAGTCACTGTATTTCTTAATTCCTTCTCTTAATTCTTCGTCTTCAAGAACGTTGTAATCTTTAAACTTCACTTGGTGAAAATCTAGTATCTGAAAAAAAAAAAACAAAAATAATTTTCTTTTCCAAAACTTCAAAAAACAGAAACAATGTTACTTGGATGTCATCAGAAGGTAACGTTATGTTAGCTCAGTTAGCCGTGACCATTTATTTAATACTGCAGAAAATTACTGAAAGACACTCTCCGTAACAGGTGACAGAAGCAGTCAATGCGAACTAATTGATCAACAAGTGACTAACAATTTTGACATTCCTGCTGAACCCGCACATTGGTTCATCTTGCGTTCCCTTCATAAAAACGACAACTGGATCCTTTGCTATATAACCGTCGATCCTCTCTTTCAGTGGTTTCGGTATTTCGACTGAAGAAAATCTCCTAACGCTTACAAAACCTCTCGCCAGAACCCTCCCATACTTTAGCATAATGATTTTGGTTTAAAGAGGACTCTCCAGAAAAATCCTAAAAATGTAGATGAAGTCTTAATGTAGCTCCACCAAGAAACATACCATCAAAACACACTTGACTATGAAACGAAAAAGAAATTTGGACATAATAAAAAAAAATTCAGCTAAGTCCAACTCTACTGCATAACCTAATCCCCACTATAATCCCACAGCAGATACTCAGAAGCAACAAAATTCTTCTTTTATCAAACAATTTCTTTAGTTTCCGAACGCCTAATGACTAACAATGAACCAAACGATTATGACTTCTGTAACACACAGATACGAGAAACTCTCTTCTGCAACAAAGCAGAACAAAGAAATAACCTTTAAACGTCGCTGTAAATGGTGGAAGGTAGCGATGATAAGAACTGCATAGTTTTATCCAGTATTTCTACAGTAGCAATATATGCAAAAAAAAAAAAAAAAAAAAAAAAAAAAAA